AAATATCAGGGATATCACAGATTTCAGGGATATCACAGATACCAGGGCTCTTTATTGTTCCATCCCCAATGAAGCCATTTGTACCAGTGGAAAATTGGTAGAAACCGTGAACACTTTGTTAGGAAATGGGAAAATGCCTCAGGAAAAGGGAGGCTGCAGGGGCTGGGAAGGGGAGGGAATCACCAGCCATCAGCCCTGACAGGATGTCCCTGTGACCAGAGGAGCTGATGCCACCCTTGGCTGCCCTCTCTGGGCAGGAGTGAACCCTCTGCCTCCCTGGAACCCTCCAATCCCTGGAATCCTCTGTCCCCTCCAACCCTCTGTCCCTCAGAACCCTCTAAAGCCTGGAACCTTCCAACCCCCTGGAATCCTCTGTCCCTTGGAACCCTCTTCCCTCCAAGCCCCTCTAACTCCTGGAACCCTCTAACCCCTGGAATCCTCTGTCTCCTGGAACCCTCTATCCCCCAAAACCTCTAAACCCTGGAATCCTCCAAACCCTGGAATCCTCCAAACCCTGGAATGCTCTGTCCCCTGGAATCCTCTGTCCCCCAGAAGTCTCTACCCCTGGAACTCTCTAACCCCCCAAATCCTCTGCCCCCTGGGACACTCTGCCCCCCAGAATCCTTTCCCAAGGCCCTGTGCCCACATGTCCAGGATGCCAAACCCCTGGATAGGGCTCAGGGAAGAGCCAGGAGAGAGAACAACACCCACTTTGCACTGAAGGAATAAAAGTGCTTCGTGTGTCCATCAAAGGATCATAACCACAAAATCTTGGGGTGGAAAGGAATTGGATCCAAGATGCTCTTGGCTGAGCCAAGGGCTGGGAACAGAGGCTGAACAGGTCAGGCCAGGGATAAAGACACATTTTTGGTCAAGAGGTTGGAGCTGCACCCATGGCCTGACCTCACGGGGACAACAGGCAGCCAGGCCAGGAATGGATCTTGCCATTCCATAGGGATTTGTTTGCCCAGGGAGGTTTGGATTCCCCAGCCCTGGGGGTGTCCAAGGAAGGACTGGACGTGGCACTCAGTGCTCTGGGCTGGGGGACAAGGTGGGCATTGGGCACAGGGGGGGCTCCATGGCCTTGGAGGGCTTTTCCAACCTCAGTGTTTCCGTGTCACTTTAACAGGAAATCTTCCCGAGAGAGAGATTTTGTTAATTCCAGATAATTCCGCCCATTAATTCCCCTCTGGGTTCAGATCTTCAGAACTCGCAGCAAAATGGGAATTTCCCAACCCATGGTGGGAGCAGCATTCCTAAATCAGCAGCATTCCTACCAGAATTCCATCCTGGCAGCACGAACACGAGGGAAAACAGGAAAACACCCCTGCTCCTGCTCTGCTTGTGGCCTCTCACCTCCCACGTGCCCTGTGCTGTCCTGGAAGGGAGATTCCCTGAGCCAGGTGTGATTCCCTGTCCTGAGTGTCCCCACCACCGTCCCTGTCCCCGTGTTTGGGGTCATTGAGGAGCATCCTGAGCTCTGCTGGATGCCAGGACAGCAGATGCCAGCACAGGGGATTGTTGGCACCGGGAGAACTGGACCGAGGGGGAAGCCACGGGAAAGGGTGGCAAGGTCCTGGCAGGGTGGAGGTGGGCGGCTGTGACGAGCTGGCAGCAAAACAGCAGCTCAGGGGCCACCTCAGCTCTGGGGCCAGCAGCCCTCCCGTGCCCTGTGTCCTCCCGGTGTCCTTCCAGGCCACCAATGACAAAAAAAAAGGACTCCAACTGCACCAAAACCCCGCTCGAAGTAGGGCACGGCATCCTTCCCATCGACCTGCTCGTCTCCCACTCCTCCTGGAAGCTAATTATCCTGCGCTCAGAAATTGGGGTAATTAGATCAGCGGGAGCCGAACTCGACCCCGGGGCTGGGGGGCCTGGGGAGGGTTTTCTGAGGTGGGGTTTTGGGTTCCATCCAGCGGGTGTCCCCGGAGAGGATGATGGCTAAAGAAAATGCAGGGAGAAAACAAGAACTCCGAGGTAATTTAGTTTTAGAGGTGAGATAAGGAAAGGGTTTTAATTCCTGCCTCTGAGGCGTGAGATGAATTACAAGACTCACGCCCTGGCTGTGTACAGGGGTTACAATTTATGATATTGTCTGTCCAATCCCAAGTGCTTTTGCCCTGGTCCACCCCCTTGGAATTGGGGCTGGGGGCTTTTTGAGACCATTTCTTCAAGCACAAATCCTGTGAGGAGAGGCTGAGGGAGCTGGGGCTGTTCAGCCTGGAGAAGAGGAGGCTCAGGGGAGAAAAAGGAGCTGTCTGGGTCCAGAAGGGTTTATCCACATCTGGCCAGGAGACAGAGCGAGGCAGCACAGCCTGGTGTGCAGGGGTTTTCATGATCAAGAACTCCTGGTGTTTTCCCAACAAGAAAAGGGAACATTCGTTTGAAAATTGGGAAAAGAGTGTCTTGGGAAAAAACTACTCGACTTTCAAGGGCCTTTAACAGAGGGAGTTGCAACATCTGAGTTCTGGCCACACCTCAGGAATAAATCCCGAGCAAGGACACAGTTTTTAAAGTTGATTCCTGACAGCTCTGGACTGGGGGGATTTGCACTGCAAAGGTCACCAAAAAAAAAAACATATTAGCAAAAGAAATGTGGGAGAATCGTTTTGAGAGTCGAAATAGAGGGAAAGGAGGAGAAAACAGGGGAAGAGAAAATACAGGGAGATGACTCAGGAGCTTCCACCAAAGCAGCAGATCTGACACCAATCCTGACAGGTAATTTAACCTCCCCTGTAAAACGAGGAGAGCAGCAGCCCCGGGGGGCAGGGGGAGACTTAATTAGTTGCTATTCGTAGATTAAGCAGCGAGTCTGAAGGTGAAAGCACTAAGTGCTAGGTATTCTTAGCTCCTGGAGGATTAATTTCACTAATTGGGCAACCCCAGCGTTGCATAAAAGTGGATCAGTTCCCCTTTTGGAATCCTGAGGTTTGTTCTGGTGGTTCTGTCCCGTGGAAAAGGGGACCCGGAGGAGGGATTTTTGCCTTTAAAAGCAGGGAGTGGTGATGAAATCTGTGGAATACTCAGTGCAGCTCCCATTCAGAGCTTGTGACTCCCACCCGAACCGACACACGCGGGATTGATTTGTGAGCACAAAATGTGCTTTATTTGGGTGGCTGATTCCTCCTCACCCTGCCTGCCCCCTCCGAGGCCAGGGCTGCGTTCCCAAACCTGCTGTTCCCGTGGTTTTTCGAGCTGCTCTCTGTGCTCTTTCAGACCCTTTTTAGAAGTTCCAAACCAGCGAGAAAAAGAGGAGAAGAGCAAATCCAGCCTCAGATCAAGATCCTCCCTTGTCCGCAGGTTTCTGGTCGCCGCCTCCTCGGGAGGTGGGGCTGAAAATCCTCATCTCCCACTTCGTTATCCCGAATTTCTGTGGCAGTAACATTCGGTTCTGCTCTCTTTTCCCGGGCAGAGCAGATCCCTGGGATGAGGAATCCCTTCCCTTTGGATTTCTCTGCTGAGGGGCGACCACGAAATTCAGCTGCTCCTGTGGTCACATCAAATATTGTTGTTCCTGCAGCAGGGAGGGGATGTTTTAGAGCCTTTGGCTGGAATTCTGCTCCTATTAATCATCCCCCCTGTGCCAGAGGAGCAGAGCTCGGGTGAACATTGTTTTCCAAGGGCAAAGAGACATTTCCTCCTGCTGTTTTCCGAAATTATCAACATTTTTGGTTCAAGTGTATTTCTGAACTTGTTTAAACAGAGCAGAACATTTTAGCCTGGTAATAATTCCTGTCGAAGTGAGATCCATCCAGGAGCCGTTCCTGGGCATGGGGAATTTTTGAAATTCTTCAAAGCAATTCTTATTTTCCTTTCAATGAGACACAAGCAACGCTTTACTTTTATTTATTTATTTTTTCCAGAGGGGAAAAAAAAAAAAAAAGACCTCAAACGATCCCCTGAATTTGCAAATATTATTTATATCAACTCTCCTTTGATATGGAAAGTTTCTAAAGAGAGGCTTTTAATGCCCAACAAGCCAAACACATTTAATCTGAAAATTATTGAAGGCAACTTCTGAGTGTAAAACTTCAAACACCTTTTAGGTGTTTTTTTTTTTTTTTTTTGAAGTCTCAGGGAAAAAACCTGTGGAACAAAAGACATAAAAATGCAGGGTGTATTTTCCTAAAATTAAAGCATCACCTGATCCCAGAAACAGGCCCCGGGGCATCTGTTAATTGAGTGACTCTGCCACGATCCTGGCGTGGTTTGAACCTCTCTCCAGCCTCTTCCCAACTGGATTTATGGAATTATCCATTAGGGGGGGATCTCTAACAAACTGCTCAGCTTCAGGACCGGGATCTGGCTGCTAAAGACAAAGGGATTCACAAAAATTTGAATGTTGTTTGTTACAATTAAGGGTTTTCCTGGTGGGAGGGTTTTCCCAACAAGGGGATCCCCTCAGGCCAACATCCCCCAGCACGGGACACCAGGGAATGGACAGGGAACACAGGGAATGGACATGGAACACAGGGAA